AAATACAGAAGCAAAAGTCACCTACAGAAATCCCCAATGGCATGAAAATATATTTCTGGGAGACCTCTGAGAGAATATACAAACAAGTCCAGCTTTTATTTTTGCCTGAAATACTACACCATTGCCAAAACCTGCTACTTCTCTCAAGGATGCTTTAAAAAATAACCAGAATATCAAATGCAGTAAATAGGCTTGTGCTTCCTTTCTTTCTAAGACAATTTGCATTTTTTATGTAAAGCAAATTCAATTCTTGGTAAAAATATACTTTTAAAATAAAACCATAGTTAAAGAGAGAATAAATGAAAGAGTCAGTGTCTGACCAAGGTGAGCTTGCTCATAGTTGACACCATTGCAGCTGAGGCTTAATGGGAACACACTCCCTCTGGCACAGCTGGCTGGGGCAAGAAGGGTGCACATCAGCATCCCCCTGGAAGTGCCTGTGCAGTGGACATGGCTGGGGAATGGCTGTTTCCTTACACCACCAGAGTGGTGTACACCACAGGAAACAGTGGATCTAGTCACAGTAGATTGCGTGAACATCAAAGACATTGGACATATATTGCTTCTTTTCTTGCATTAGCTGCTCATTGCGCTGTTTAACTTTCTAGCAAGTCATTAATAAAAACTTACTACCAGAACTACCATTTCATGAACACAACTCAAAGCCCTTAGACCGATAACAGGCTCTTTATGCTTTAGATTAGATAAAGATAGGAGATAAATATCTTTGTAATTCCAAATAGTGCACTAATTTATTTGAAAAGTACATAGAAAGTTCAGACAAAGTTATATTTTTATCTTCTGAGCAGACTGTTTTGAAACAGCCTTATTTTTGTTTGATAACTTCTACAAATTTATGAACGTCTGAGAAGTTTCCTTTTGTTCAAAGAAACCTCTCTAATCTTTATAAATATATTGAAACATTATGAGTCACACAACAAAAGGTGAATAAAAAAACATTTATTCATATTGTTTTCCTCTTAAGACCTTTTTAAGCCTACCATGGTATTTTGGGCCTGAATTATGGTTTTTTAATTCCTGAAATTAATGGCAGCACCACGTTTGTGGAAAGGAGATAGTTTTTCTTACAGATCTTGAAAAACTGGATTAATCCAAGCCTGCAAAATACTTGGAACTCCTACAGTGCTTATCTAAATGTAAATGTATCATTAACTAGTAATTGATGCAACTTATTCACTATTCCATGAACTGCTGGGTCCACTCAGCACTTAGAGAAGATCCATTAAAAAGAAGAAATTCAGTGTTCTACACGAGGCTGATTTTGTTTTATAGATAAGCTGCAAAGTGTGCTGGTCTCCCTTTGGACTGGGAGGAGATTCCAGCCTGTGTCAGTTGAGCTTGCTGGGTACCAGGGCTTTTGTTTGCTCAGCCCTGCCCTGTTGTACCCGTGCTGGGGATATGGTCTGGGTAGTACCTACAGAAAGGAAATGCAAACTTGAGGGCAGACACGAGGTGCTACTCTGGCCCAAGCCCAGCCAATCACAAGACCTTGCTGGAGTCAGGAGTAAAAGGAAATGTCTTTGCACTTCTGTTTCTTGGTGAAACCTTTAACCCTGTGTTTGGGCTTCTAAAGAGGAAGTCTGCTCTGTTTTCTGTAGTATTTGACTATGAAATTAACCCCTGAATGCACAGCATTTAGTTTCAGCTTTGTTGGTCCTGAATGCCTGGAGCCCAAGACAGCTATAGGTACCAGCACAGGCCAGCACCACAGCACTTCTTCTCATGGGCACTGCAATGTTAAAAGTACTGGTTCATCCTCTGGTTGCACTAGCCTTGAGATGCAAAAAGGCAGAGGTATCTCTAAATTGATGAATTTATCCTACTGACTGTGCTTATAACTTGAAAGGTAATGAGATAGAGATACATTTGAGGCTTTAAGGTGGGAGATGAGGGAAGGCATTAAGTCATGGAGTTTCCATAAATGTCAAGCAGAGGTGTATGTTTAGGGAGGCATTTCCATATAAGTCACAAATGAGACAGAGAAACAGCTAAAATGGTTGCACTGCAGTCTTTGGAAGTACAGAAGTGAACACAAAGTCCATGCACTCATAGGCCAATACCACAGTTATTTAGTCATAGAAATAGTCCCTTGAGGTCCAAGCTTGTGTATGGTGTGCCAACAAAAGCTGGTCATCCACCGCTGGCAGGAGTAAAAATTATGCGGTATTTCTGATATTTTCTATTCTGAGCACAGGAATTAGTACTTTAAATAACGTTCATTGTAGGTGGCTGCAACACAAAATGTGCACTCTGCACTCTCCTCTCTCGCAGATCATAGGCCTTGTCTTCTAATGGCCCAGCCATGTGACTATGTCTTGACTACCAAAGTAGGTAATTGAAATAAATGAAATTACTTATGCTTGGCATGGCCTATAATGCATGCAAATTCCTTCCAGTACAGGTCAGTCTTAGCGTTGATTCAGGTTTATCAGGTGAGCCATGTAATTTGACATGAAATTGGAAATGAAATAGACAGAGCCCTAGAAGGTTCAACTCCACTTTTAGCACTTCTCTGGAAGTTCATAGTGCTTTCAGTGGAAGACATAGGTGCTGCCAAACCTCATGGGCCTGCTGAGATGAGAGGTAATAGAGCATGGTGTTAATAATACCAAGGTCTTGAGTTCAATCCCCATATGGGCCATTCACTCATGAGTTGGACTCAATGATCTTTGGGGTCCCTTTCAACTCAAAATATTCTGTGAATATCTGTGAACTGGTTCGTGACAATTTTTCCATCAGGAATCACATTTGTGGTCATCTGGAAATTCCTCTGAAAAGAATGAGTGCTAAAATGAAAACAGAGTTTGATATCTAGACATAAAGTACCTTCATTGCTAGTTAAAATCAATGCAAGTATTCAGTTCCTTGCTGTCTATTCCTACTCTTGTCAACAGCTTCAAGGTATTCAATTCAGTGTTCGAAATGCAGATATTATCTAGGCAAACATACTCTGGAAACTCAGCTATTAGGAAAAATTCTTGATGAGCAGAAGCTTGCTGCTCTTCTTGCTATTACATTTGCCAGGACAAGTATTTATAAGAGGTGCTGTGTACAAGGGAATGCTTGGTAACTTATCAGGCTGTAAAAGTTCCATCTTGTGATGTAAAGCAGTGGCAGTATGAATATTGTCTATGTGGAGAAGTGAAGAGCTAAAATGAAGGGGCAAATGAGCCAGGATTGACTCATCCCTGTTCAGGGATAGAGAATAATTTTTTTAACTTATCCCAGCAGAACAAGCTGTTTGATTATAAACTGTAAAGCTGAAGCAGTTCTGTCTTCACTGGTCAAGCTCTGCATTTCTTAGGTTTATACTGGTATGGCAACAGTGAATCCTGCCCTTTAAGGGCAGTCATCAGACTTGAGATGAGGGCATTGGACTGATGTTCTGTTGCTGACTTTACACAGACAGGACAAAGTGAGAGTCAGGAAAGCCTGAGCAGCAGAAATCAAGTCTGTATTCAAAGCTGGAGAGGTGGGAGAGAGGGACACAAACAGCATCAGTTTCCAGTAATTTCTGCTGGTTTTTGAAACATGTTTTCCTTCAAAGGCCAGTTTTACGAGTTCTGAGATGAGCAATGGGACATGTGACTGCCCAGGGACTGCATGATCCATCTGTATGATCCACTGAATTTCGGTTTGCCTTTGTCACCCTGTATATATTTCATATATGCATATGCACTATGTGGATATTGTAATAGTAGTTTTTAATAAAGAAGTTGAGAGCCAGACATAACAAAAATCTTGAACACCACTGAGCTTTTTTGCTCAAGCACTTGGAGCAAAATCCAACCCCAAAGCTTCAAACCTTTATTTCTGACCCAGCTAACAGGGCCAGTGAAAAACCTCAGGAGGGCAAACCCAGGAGGTGAGGAGGTGAAGCAGTGAGCTTTGCAGTGCTGGGGACCAGGGAAGACTAAGCACAGGGCTGAACATGAGCATCTGCCCCAGCTCTGGGGCTTGGATGGTGCCAGGAAAGTGTTTGTCCCTACACCTGGGACCCAGAGCCACGGATCTCCCAGGATCTGAAGGGATTGCCAGGCTGTAATTTCTGCTGAGAGGAGAAGAGAAATGAAGACCTGAGTCCTCCTTCAGTTTGAAGGAGGCATCTTGGCCTCTGGACTTTGCTCCTGGGCTTATTTCTGATTTTCATCCAATGACTGCCATATGTACCAGTTCAGAGAGCAGAATTTGTGATCACAGTGATAAACAAAGCCCTAGAGACTCCTTTGTTTTATCATGCCGATTTCAGTGTCCTACAGGTAGGCACATACATCTGGGCAATAGACCGTCTGCATCACAGGTCTTACAGCCATCTGCAATTACATACATGTGTGAATAAAAAAAATAGTGTCAACCTGCCTGCTTGATGGTTGTTTCATGTCATAATACTACCACACTTTGTAAAAAGACTGTAGCTGAGAAGAGGATTGGGTTTCCTATTTAGATTTTACACAGTATTATATATTTTGAACTGTGCAAGTTGGCAACATGTCTTTATATGTATTGAGTAATGAACGGAAGAGGTAATAAAACTGTTTCTTCTGCATTTATAAGAAAAAAAGTAATTTTGAAATATACAGTTCATAACTTCTAATGCATATGCTACCCTAAGACATCATGAGAATTAGCTAGAGGACACCAGCACACTGAAAGAAAGTTAATTTCCTCATACTTCAGTATGGAGCTCAAGTTTTAATCTCCTTTGGAGGTCTTGCAATGTAGAGTAAACACAAGTAATCTCTAGAATATGCCTTGTTTATTCCAGAAGAGCCATTTGGTTCCATTATGTCATTGCTCGCAAGAAGAAAAAGGGAAACTAAAATCTATCATCTTGACCTGGGCAAGTTTAATAGCCTGGGAGTTTAACAGCATTAGCTCATCATCAGGGACCAGGACCTAATGGCAGCAAATCAGGGAACTTCTCAGCAGGCCTCTTCTCTCAGTGATGAAGAAGGCAAGGCAGTACGGTCTGTCTGTGTGCAGGGGGAGAGGTCAGACTTCCGTGCCTGGGACTTCCATACCATGGCTGAGAGTACCACGTGTGATGGAACTTCTGCAGGGCTGGGGCTGACCAAACCCTTCAAGGAGATCCTCTGGGAATGAAGGTGAGGGTGTGCTGTTCATCAAAGTCAGGTGTGCTGCTGATTCAGCTTCCTTCTGCTTTGAGGATGGCCACACATAACTACAAATGAAATGAGCTTGGGAGATCTCTGCCCAAACTCTGGTGTGGACTTCTTGAAATATGAGGTAGCATCAGTGTCAATGCAAGCCAAGAATGTGGTACAGAGATAGTGGTCATGTAAGCATCTGGTAACTATACCATGATAAGAATCCACAGTCCTTGCAAAGGAAAAGAAGGAAAAAGAAAAAAGCTAAAATTGACTTGAAAAAAAGTAGATTTCTATAAAATAAGATTACTGATAAAACGAATTTCATAGGAAACAAACCAAAGAAAAGCATTGGCATGAATGATCAGGTCTCTGTATAAATGGAGTGAACGGCGTAAGTCCTAATGCAAAAGTGGTATTAGGAAGGTTGATAAGAACAAACTACTTTGCTAAGTCAGAACTTATCAGTGTTCTCAATCTCACAAAGAAGCACCGTCATAAGTAGGTTACACCTCTAAAGTGAGTATATAGAATAGGCAAATACAGACAAAATCATAATTATGTCAGTGCAACTATCAATGCAATGAAGATAACATGAAAATATATTAAATACAATATATATGTGCATTATTCAGGGACCTACTTTTTGTAGGAGCTTTTCCTCAGCAGCATTGGGAAGTCTCACCTGGGAAACTGAAGGCACAGGTCATCAGCAAAGGTGGAGGATGACTAAGCAGGGTACAGAGGGCACCAATGTGAATGAGCAGGTGTCTGAAAGTACCGCAATGGATTAGTTAGGGAGACCTGGAACGGTCATTATTTACATTTTTTACTGTCAGGGAGGTTGCAGGTGTAGCTGATTCTACCTCATGAGAAATAAAAGAACTAGATCACTAGAAATTTTTCAGCATTATTTTCCTATGCTTCCTTTCCCTCCACTGGTGCTAGCTCATTTTAATACATATTATTTATGTTGTCAAATTATCATACCCTAATAGATCCACAAAATAAATATTTTCTAAACAAACAGAAAGGGAAAGAACCTGAGGTCAGGCAGGTCCTGTTAGTTTGGAAGTGGAAGAGGTACATGGAGAGACATCAGCTGAATTGAAACCAGGAAAAGACAAAAAGAAAAAAATGAAAAAGGAGTGAGGAAGAAATGACAGAGCTGATAAATGGGAAGAGTGAAAAGGATGTGACTAATGATATGAGAAGAGTTGTTTCTGGAAAAACTGACTCACTGAACAATGTTTCACACAACGAACACCTGGACGTTTGCCTTTTCTTCATCGGATTTACTCAGAGAAACAGCTGGCTCAAGGAACCAGTCACACTGCTGAGTTTGTTCTCATGATTTTATCTGTGGCACCCTGTTATGACTGTTGTAAAGCCTTAAGTGCTTCTGGACTTTGTAATGAATTTGACATGGGAGGATTTTTTCCTGTGTGGTTGCAACCTGCAAGCAGTTGCTCTGTGCCTGGGAAACTATTTCAACCAGAGAAAGATACTGGGTATGAGAAGGCTCAGCTCTTCCAGTGACTTTAAAAAACAGAGGCATTCAATTAAACATATTAGGTACCTTACATTTGTTTTTTTGCATTTCAATTAACACACTGCACTTCCTAATAATTGGACTTGCTAGCAGAGATATTGCTATCTGAAAGACAAATGTGAGACTTGTTCATATGGCTCTGACTTCTGACATACTGACTCGAGTTGTTCTGCACTTGTCAAGTAAAGGAGGGTTAAAATGACATTAGGAATTTGTGAATGGTTTTTTGGTTTTGCTGCCGTGAATTCTTGCTATTTTGAAATTAATACTCCATGTTGAAAGTACTACTCATCCATACTCAAGTAGTACATGATTATTCCATATGTATGTACTTAAAATCAATGTATTTCTGAGAAAGCGCAATTGCCTCCCCTTATTATATTTACTTAGAACCGCTAACAGTGAGTTTTAATGCTTTATTTGAAACTGGATTCAAACTGTTCTCTAAAGAGCTAGCAGACTGCTAGCAGACAACTCTTGAGAAAGTCTGAATCATTCTGAGTGCATGAGCAAATGGAGAACAATTGTCTTTGAAAGCATGCTGAAAGCACAGCCTAGAGGTGTTTTCCTGGAGAAACAAACACTGATTTCGAGGGAAAAGGGTGATCTGAAACACAGAAAGAAAGCTTAACTTTTCACAGAACTGTACACCTTTGAGCTGCAATTGACTCTAAACACTTCTTTCTTTAGATGCATAATTCAGAAAATAATGTGCTGCACAACTATTTTTTTTACCAAATATATTTTATTTGTTATTTGTTTTACCATAGTTCTTCATGGTCCAGTTGATTTCAGTTCCCTTTACTGCAGGTGTCATAATACAGAGACTAGTGGGGACTGGTTCTCTTGAAAGGCTGTAAACCTAAAGAGACATGAAAGATGACACACAAGAGAAAGGAAGGATTACATCCATTATGAGATGAGTATCTGGAAAAGGGCAAATAGAGCGATTTACCCAAAGCAACCCAAAGTAAAGTTGCGGTTGAACTCAGACAGAATTTGAACTTTTTGATTAGAATAGACAAATTATTCTCATAACTAGGCTGGTTCCTCCCCATGCACACATCTCCTGTGAAAACAAGCCACTTTTATGTCCAAATTATTCTCTTTTGAACAAGAAATATTCCTGTAACTGGGCAAGTAGCAAACATGCTCTCCAACCGAGGCCCATGCCCCGTCCTCTCCACCTCCTCTCCAACAGAAAGGCTAACTTACCCACTGGAGCTCCAATGCCACACCTTGAGTGTTCATTTCTCACAGCCCCACTGAAAATAATTAATTCAGAAGGAAAATCGCAAAGGACCTAAAAATATTGAAGGCTGTAAATTACCTTGGAGCTACATTGCTTCCTGTTTCATACCACACCTAGTCATTAGTATCAATAATTCTCCACGCAGTTAATGTTTGAGCTGCTGAATCTCTACAGGCAAGCCCAAAGAACTATAAACTGTCTTGATAAGCACAGACAGACACCACCAACCTGTGCAAAGGAGATTCCCACAGCTGAAAGGAAGAAGCATTTTTAGAGCAAAATAAGCTTTTCATGTTACAGGTAAGAGATGATCTAACTGCCATTTCACAGAAAGATTTTAAAAGCTGGAATGAGGGTTTTGTTAAAGGATTTTCAGGCGGTGTTAGGAACTCAGCTGTCCCTGTGAAATGGATGACTGCTGTGCTAAGGTTTAGTCTGGTTTATATTTGATTTGGATCAATTTCCTCTGTTTTCTCTTTGTTGAATTTGAACATCTGAAATCAATCAACTAAAGAAAATAGTATTTTTTTCCATGGAACCAAATACTTGTGATTGTTGCTGATCTTTAACCTCCGGGAATATTCTTTGTTCTCTGAATGTTTATTATTGAAAGTCACTGGGATATTTCTATGATGGTTATCCTAGAGATTTCTCTTCAGTCATGGGAACTGTAAGGGATTATTAGGGATATAGTGCTTAGATGAAGCTGAGAAATGAAGGAGAAAATATGGCTCCAATCCTCAGCCAGAATCCAGGCTGCATTTAGTTGAGTTGATACTATTCTCATCCTGAAGCTGCCTATTACTGAAAACTTTTGTATGAATCTATATATACTGAAACTCTGCTATAAGTGACAGAGGAGTATGTCTTTTGGGTCTTTGGTCCTTGGCAGGGCAATGCTTCATGAGACTTGGTAAGAGTTTCCAGCCAAAAATTAATGTTCAAGGGTTAATCAAACTTTACAACAGGCACTGCAAATAGCATGACATAAGGAAGGATGTTTATATTCAAAGAGAAGGAAACAGCAAAGGCACTTATCATGCAAACTATGAAATGGTTGTATTTCCACTGTTGTGTTTCACAGTTGGATCTGGACAGAAGAACCCAGCTGTGACACAGTGCTGCAGGGCAGCCACATGAAGGAGGGCGTTTTTCAGCATTTTCTGACCCCTCTAGTAAGGCTGGATGTGTCCCTTCCTCAAACTTTCTCCTCTCCATAGTAGGCTTTGCTCCTTCTCCTTTCCCTGAATCCAGACCAGGGTATCACAGGCCACCCCATACCCTTTTCTCCTACCTCCTACTGGCCTCCCGCAGTACTTTTAGCTTCCTGCTGGCTGGCCAAGGGGAATTTACAGCTGTGCCTCCCCTGCCAGGCACATGCTGGACACAAACTGCAGCCTTATGCCTTGGGTCCTCTGTACCCCCGGCACCCCAAATTAATAATGAATGAGATTTTTGCTAATACGGGCAGCTGAAACTGGCCAATGTATTCAGAAGAGACAGGCAGGAGGGGAGTGGAGAGGCAGAGGCCGTTGTACAGGCAGATAAATGCCAAGAATTTTCATGACTATCTAACCAAAATATTAGCAGCAGTCTTGGTTCAAAATGTCCTTCCAGGGGGCTCAAAGTGTCTTCTCCTTCTCTGCCCTGCCTGTGCCATCTCCTCTGGCTTCAGGTGGACAGTGAGGGACCTGCTTGACAGGCATCCCTGCCAGGCAGCTACAGGGGGCTCAACTTCAGCCTTTGTTTCCTGATGAATTTCCTGGTCACTTCTGTTTTCAAAGGGGTGTCATATCATTTTCTTCCAGTACCTACACAGTTAGCTCCAGCCCAAGGAAAGAACCTAGTAATTTCAAAGGGTGTAATTGCACACACATATAACCCTGCTTAGAATGGGATTTGAAAGATAAAGTCATGTGGCATGTCCTAGAATGAGTGCTAGAGAGAACAGTGATGTGGGCAGTGGTTTCTGTATTTACAGGTCCCCTTTTGCGTCAGCCATTGAGGAAAGAAAAGGAGGGGGAAGCAAATGGCATGATGGAAAGCACAGGCAGGAAGGCATTTGGAGGGAGCTGTGTCTCCACACTGTGTTCTTCTCCTTGGGAGGCTCCATGGGACAGAGCTGTGGTGGCTGAAGGATATTTTGAGTTGGAAGGGACCCATAAAAATTATCAAGCCCAACTCTTAATGTTTTGAGCTGGAAGGGACCCACAAAAACCACCAAGCCCAACTTTTAAGTGAATGGCCCTATATGGGGATTGAACCCTTGACCTTGGCATTATTAGGAACCAACTGAGCCAACCCACTTCCCCAATACCTGTAGGTGTGAGCCACATAACATGGATCACCACTAAAGATGGCAGCACAGTACATCAGCTTCACCTCTCTTCAGAAACAGCTTCTTCCTCTTTGTTAAAATCTAGAAGTAGTGAGAAAGTAGGATTTCATTGTGAGAAACCCATCTAGTTGTCAGGAGGATGTAACAGAAATCGTGGAAGTGTGTGCTCAGCATTTCTTTGAAACTTGAGGCAGACAAGTGCTCCTTGGACTTGGAAATTTCATTTCCAGTAACTGTGTAGTTTTAAGGGGTGCAGATACCTCAGGCTTCCTCTGCCTCTGCAAGCTGAAGCAAATAGTTGTTTATTAGGAACCAGAAGACAGAGACCTTAGAGTGGTCCCTGCAAGACTTTCATCTTATTGTGGTTGTGGTTTTCCTGTGAATGTGTTGTTGCGTTCAGTAAAGCAGAAATGAAAATGGGGCTTGCATGACAGAATCATTGTAACAATGAGGTTGCATGGCTTAAATTTTTGTGCTGGGTTCATTCTTTGACAGCTCTTTGGGGCTCTCACAACATGTGGCACCTCTTGCACCATTGTGCACAGGCCTGATGGGCACAGGCTTCCTGGACAGTCCGGAACACCAGCGGTCCTGCCTCCCATGGGCAGAGCTGCCCCTGGTCCTTCAGAGCTCACTTCTCAACTCTCTCCCTGCAGCTTCAGGAAAGCTCAGCTCTTGCCTTAATTTGCAAATAGACTGGTCAAACTCTGTGGCTTTAAAGTGACTGTCATCTCTGCTTTGCAGGACCTGAGGCAAAGCATATTCCAGTATGCTTAAGCTGTGTGGACTTCAAATTCTGCTTGTCATTCACTCGGTGAGTTACAGGTTTTCCTTTGTTTATCTGGGAGCAAATGGCAAAGGTTGCCTGTGAGCCTCTGAACTCTAATCCACGGGGTGTGCCAGCCTGCAGGTTGGGCTGGTACTTGTGCCAGCAGAGGGGCTGCAACTCTGGGTGTGGAAGGGGGGCCCTAACGTGTGTGCAATCTCACGGCCAAAAGTTAAGAAGGCAACTCAATCATTCGGAAGAACACTTTAAAAAGCCTAAAAGGGCACCAATTTACCTATTTTGCCTCTTGTGCTTCATCTTTAGATACCACTGTTTCCAATAATTGGATTTCACACTTGAAAAGACTTAAAAATACTGGAATAAATCACCAAACAGTGAAGTCATCTGTATCATGTGTTCTGTATTTATAATCCATATGTATGATGACATATTAAATGTATTCTAAGACATATAATGGCACATAGTTTAAACTGTGCACATTAATTATGTATCCTCATTATTCTGTCTATGTGAATCCCTTTTCAGAGGATTTTCTGGAACTGAAATATATTAATTATGTTATTTATGGACCTCATGTATTAAATTCAACAGAGTTACTGATGTTTGTAAAGACTACAGTAGTAGTGGCTTCTACTTCACAATTGAAATTAACAGAAAAGGTTTAAAAAAAGAGTAAAATTCAAGTTCAGTAAAAAATGCCTTAGAATATGGACACCCTGAGGGGTGGGACTGATGTGCCATAGTGAGCACCTCCTTTTTCCTTCCTATTGCAAAAGCCGCTGCCCATGGCAGTGTTGACCCACCCATGACGCCACTCTGCAGGCATTATAGCCATTTTCAGAAGGGATGCCACTGGATATGGACCAAGGAGCTTTCACTCCTGAGTAGTGACTCATGCTGTAGACATAAGTTTGGAAATATTTATGTTCCACATAAAGTAATTTTAATCGAGAGAAGTGATATCGCTTACTTGCTTCACAGACTGCACTTTGAACTCGTTGCGTTTTATAGCATGAGCCTTTGTTCCTCCATGGCAAGGAACATGATCAAGCAAAACCTGTCCACAAAATGGCCCTGGGAGACACCTGCAGGAGCCAGGCTGTGCCCACTTCTGTGGCATGGGAACAGCCTCAGTAGGTCAGATTCGGGGTCCTGTTATCATGTCTGTAGCAGAGGCCAGCAGTCGGCATTTGGCAAAAATAGTAAAAGGAAGGTGTAACTACTCTTTCCTGGATGTGTAACTACTCTTTCCTGGATGTGTAACTATTAGATGGCTTTTTTGATATTTTTCTTTTGACACTAGAGTTCAGTAGCATCCCTCCCACTTCTTCCTCATCTCTTACAGTACTTTGCTTTTCCTGTTTGCAAAGGGAGTCACAAACCCTTGTAGGGGAGGAGGGTAGCATCTCTGGCTATTATTAAGCAGAATCTGGCATTATTGAAACACCACTTGTGACACACACACACAGAGCAGTGCTTTAGGGTAAATTGTGCTGAACTTAGCTGTGTTTTTGTCATAGGCAGAATTAAGTTTTCCCTTGGTAATATGTAGATTGTGCTTTTCTGTGAGAGGTTGAATAGCTGTCCCAGCAGCAATAGGACCAAATCCAGGGGAAAAGTCATTCAGCAGAGAACATGCGCTCCCAGAGCTCAACTCCATAGGGTGGCCCTGGAACTCTAAATGTGTAAAGCCAAATAAAGTAATTTTTACTCTGGAAGAAAGGGAATTTTACCTGTGCAGTAAAATGATGGAGCTCTAATTCTGGCAGGCAGCTCCTCAGCATTGGCAAGACAGGGAGTGAAAAGCAGGTATTCAGGGAAGTTTGGTCTTGCTTTTGGAGAAACTGGCAGATTATCTGAACCACAGTCTGAATTGTCATGTGTGCAAGGGCTGCCCTTGGAGGCTCGTTTCTGCTTTACTTTTTTGGTTTGAAAGAAGGAACAGCCCTGAAATATTAGAGCAGAAGTGTGTCTGGAGGTCTTAGGGCAGTAGGGAGTGGTGGTTATAACATTCATTAAAAAATCAGCAGAAAAAACATGATGTGAAGTCATTGCCAGACATAAAGAAAAAGACAGAGGTTGAGACAGAACTGTATGGCATTTTTGCCATCAGATAGAAGCTAAAGATCAGGAGGACCCATATGCTCTGTCTGTGGCTTGCACTCACATGCAACTGATGTGAAGGCACAGGGTTCCAGTGGCTGGTCCGGATGGCTATGGCACTGAGGGTGACAAGGTAGGGGACCCAGAGAGGTCCACCTTGTTCCCTTACAAAAAAAGATTTGAATTTACTGAAGAAATTACAAGGAGTGGAATCCCTGTTCCTCCCCATCCCCAGTTGTGGCATTGGGCCTCCAGACATATTAGTTGTCACAGGACCTTGTGACTCCTAGATGGAACATGGATGGTCCCGCTGGGGACACAGAGGTGATCCAGCAATGATTTTACAAACTTTCTTTTGGTCTCAGTCTACATTCATCTCTTTGCTACTTCTGTTTGCTGTTGATCAAATCTCATTTAATTATGTAGTGGTTAGAAAAGGGTAGGAGCCAGATGTTTGTTCTCAAGTTAATTAATAAATAACACTACTTTTAAAAAAGGATGTGCCCTAAACAACCTGGAGATGTTCAGTGCAAACCAGCAAGAGTCTCTGCTGTTGTACTATAGCAAACTAACTTGCAAGAAGCTCAGTAATGGAAAGCTGCTGTTTGTGCATGGTGATAGCAGACAACCTTCAGCTGTTTTCCTCCATTCTTATCTCTCTCTGTAACAGGCTACGTGCTTTAATCTGGGAGACCTGCATGTGACTGGGCCTCTGAAGGACATGAATTTCTCTATTCCAGAAGGAGGGGGTGTGCGCATCCTTTACCAGGTAATCAAGTGTCTCTGTTATCCACTCCGGTCAAAAACCCCATAGCCTGCATGGAGAGACCACATATGGAGTGTTGTCATCTGTGCTGGTGAAGAACAGTCCCCCAGGAGGATCTGAAATTAATTTCTAATTCCTCTCTCTGGGAATTCAAGAGTCTACGTGCAAACAACAGGAGACAACCCCCTCCCTCAAACACATTTTTAAGAGGATATCCTAAGACAGGGATTAAGAAAATCAGCATTCCTAGAGAATGGGTTTCCATGTAATTTGTGTCATCATTTTCCTTTGAGGTTTTCTTCCCAAAGCCATAACCAGATCCAGCTCCCAGGCAAATGGAGAATATGTATCATTTTTTTCCATTCCCGTGCTCAGACAAAACCCTGTCCTAAGCAGACGTTTGCTTTGGAAACAAACTGCAGTTGGGATTTCTTGAAGCATTAAGGAAATAATGTGAAAATTCCCCTGTTGAGAATCAGAAAAGAGCAGATTTGTTTGAGCAGACTCTGAGAATATAATTCTCCCAACCAAACACACTTCTGGCAATAGATTTTAAAAGTCACAAAAGCATGAAATGATTTTTATTATGTTGAAAACGTTGAAAAAGGAAGATTCTTCCTCAGATTTTTTTCCATTGTAGTTCACATCTGAGCCACCTGCTGTGAGATTCAGATTGTCTGGTGATAAAGATGGAATAATAGACATTGCGCCGGAGAAGGGCATCCTGTATCTCAATGGGTCCCTGGATTGGGAGACCAAACCAGTGCACAATCTGGAGGTAAATGAAAATTAGAAGGAGAGTGTTAATTCGCTCTCTTTTGGTATACCTGAAATTAATACAAAACTGTTGAAATTTCACATTCTTTATTTTGTCTATGTTTACAGACAGCATTTTCACTTTTAATACTGAGCTTTGCTGGAAGATGCATGGTTTCATAGTTCTGAAAGACTGCACAGGAAAATGCTCATTAGCAGAGGAAAGCTGTGTTGAGAAAACAAAAATTATGGTGTTGCAAACACCAGTCCTTTAACTCTCTTAATACATGGGAATACTTGACTGAAAGTGAAATCTGGCCTCATGAATGAGTTCTGTTTGTTATCCCTGACAACTGATAGGGTGAATTCCATGTCTGGAGTGGGAAAATAAACTATTGTAATCTATTTGGGAAGACTATAATCTGCATGGTAACAAATGGTGTGAGTAAAAGGCATTTAGACAGAGAGATACAGATCTAACCTATGTTAGATAACAGCAGAAAGCTGTTTTGCAAACGTTGGAGTTTATTAAAGGAAAAAGCTTTGTGTGCTTTGTCCTGCTATAATAGCCTTTTCATAAGGATCTCGTTGTAAACACTGTTGGGTGTGGGAGGGCGGATAGGCAGTCCTTTGGTCTCAATATAGCCTTGTGATGTTATTCTATGTCAAAAATGGTGGTGTTTTTTTCTGAGGCACTAGCAGCTGAGAAGGAAATGACCACGAGAGGATCAGTATATGAACAGACAAAGCACATGATGATTTTTTAGCTAACCTTAGCTATCTTTCTGAAGTCTAACACTCAGGTTTAATGGTTTCAAGTTCTCAGCTATAAAGCACCCTTGGATTGGAATTAGAGAAGACAACTTTCTAGCTCCAGATGTTATTAATCCTAAGGATGTGGATCATTTATAGACAAGAAGTGATGACAGAACTAAAAACTTATGCTTGGTTAGGCATAAATAATCATGATTTTGTCTATTATGTCTATTTATAAATAAAATAAAGTCTCACAAATGTATTATATACTAGGTGCTTTAAAGACAAGGAATGCTGGAAAATAAGAAGTCAAATTGTTTGAAAAAAAGTCATTAAAAATAAGAATTATTTTTTCTTTACTAACCTTTAGATCAGCCTATTTACCTGGTTGTGATATTTATAATAGCAATTATTTATAAATGTTATACCATGTTGGGTTTTCTCCTTGTTCTTTAGGAAGTATATGTTTCTATTTAAAGAAAGACATGAATTCTGAGCTGTGCAAAAATACAAGTTATCTGCTGAGAGACTGGAAGTGAGAAATTGTCCTCTGAAAAGTGTCATCAGAAGGAGGAGTGGGTTCTTTTGTTTTGTTGGCATTATACACTGTAGCAAATTATTATCAGTGAGCTACAGTGGCAAATTTGTCCTTGTAGAGGGAGCTACCCAGAGATGGCTCTCACCAGATTTGTGTCACAGTAGGAATGACTTGACATTTGACATCCTTATGTTAATTTATGACTTTTAATTTACCTACATGAAAATATTTCCTTGCTGTTCCTTCTCTTTTCAAATCAGGTGGAAAGTCTGGATGTAAATGAAAATGTAGTGAATGGTCCATATGCTGTTACAATATATGTGGAGGACATCAATGACAACCCACCAGAATTTAACCAGACATCATATGCTGGAGTAGTGAGGCAGAACTCCCGTCCTGGTAATTATCTTAATAATTAAATATTATAATTTATAGGAAGGTAGGTAAATTAAACAGAAAGATAAAGCGGGTGCTATATTTCAAGAAGCAACAAAATTATCAGTTTTTCTTCCCACAGGACTGTAGAAAATAAGGATGAAAGCCTGGATAATATGATGAAAAGGCAAAGAGGTCACCACTATGTAGTGCAAAGGGATGAGTGTAATCAAAAATATTTCATAGTACTCATTGCTTTGCAAGCATCACTTAGCAGGCAAATATGGCTGGTCTCTCCTTTGCACTGAAAAAAACTCCTGTGCTAGAAGGAGTTTAAAGGTTACCAAAGACTACACAGAAAGAGAATGCTAAGAATATGTAGCTCTTTGCATAACAGTGAAATAAAATGCCAGGGTAGATATGGGGTATGTGTGTACTGTGACAGATGCTTCTCAGGATATGGACTGAACCTTAGTATTTAGAAGAGAGTCTTAGATTATCGACTGCAGTGATTCAGTCTATAAGTCAGGAAAGTATCAAAAACAGTTTCACCTTGAAATGAAACAAAAGGCTGTTATCACTGTGACTATGGACACAAGAAGAAACTTTCACTAAAGAATATGGATATAAACCTCTGTGGGGTCAGAAAATCATTCTGAAATATATTACTGTATTCTTAACTGCATCCAAGTCAGAAAGACTTTGAAATTTACATTGGTGCTCAAAAGGTAAAATTTGAGTTACGTTACCATGTGTTTCTATATCTTTTTCACTGTATAATTGTTCCTTTAATTAAAACTGTGTCATAGCCGTCGGCCACTTTTATCGAGGTGCTTTGGGTTGAACTGACTTACGTATGAACTGTAAAGTGGCCTTAAAGAGAGATACCAGTGAGCTGCATTCTGGGTTCAAGCACTCGTGTGGTAGATAGCTCGCTGCTGATTTAATTCTGTCACCTTCTTCATCTACTGGTTTTCACATCTATTATGACCCTACTGGTGGAGATGGGAGGAGGGGACCTGTGGGATGACATGCAGGCGATGTAACCTCTACACACAATCATGGCTTCCCATGAGAGATGAAGTATGAATCAATGGCAGTTCCCCATAAGCTGCCTTTCTGGCTTGAGAGCTCTGCCTGAATGGACTATATATTGAGGTTTCAGCCTCATCTCTTACACCTGTTTCTTCTCTAATCCAAACAGGCAAACCTTTCATGTATGTCTATGCCACTGATCGCGATAATCCTGCAACTCCCCATGCACAGCTGACGTACAGTATTCTCCATCATTTTCCCAACCCTTATGAAGAAATGCTTTTCCAGATTGATAGTAAAACTGGAGCCATCTCACCGAGTAAGACGGGTATGTAAAAAGATCCTTGTTTTCAAAGAGCAAGCATGAGTTCCAGGGTGTACGTAAGAACTAAAGACCAACACCGGTCTGATGTTACATTCTGAATAAATGTAGTTAGTGGGGCATACTCCACTGAGGTCCTACTTTTAGGGACCTTGTTTTGTGTCCCACCAAATTCAAGGGAAGTAAGCAGAAATGGATACTGGGATCTAAAAGTACACGGAGAAGAAAGACAGATCCTCTGGCCCTCAGGACTACACTGTGTCATATTTTGTGATTAATTCTCTTCCTTGAAATCTAGAGACTCAAAAGCAGCAACATGAAAAATGCAGAGAAAACTCAGCCAGCCATGTGATCCCAACTGAATTGCAATGATTTAGAAATGCCCATCTCTTCTACTGAGCTAAACAAGTGCTTAACTGGGGTGAGGGCATCTGCACAATATGAGACCACAGCACAGAGGTCTCATATGATCACATCTACTTGATGCTGTGCTGCATCATTCAGAGAAACCAGAGGAAATTTCTTGCTGAGATTTGTCACAGAGGACCATCTAAGGAGTGAGTCTGAAGCAAATAAAGAAACAGTGTATGAAGGAGGCAATGGGGACATGAAATATCCCTACAGGCTCTGCAACATTTCACTTGGCTCTTTGCTCTGTCTCTAGGCTCTTATTACTTAGATCCTCAAAAGCAGAACAACTTCCTACTTGTTGTTTCCGTGAAGGACATGGCAGGAATGACAACAAACGCTTTCACCAGCAGTGCTGATGTGGTTATCTCTGTAATGGAGAGCCTGTGGAAAGCTCCCTCCACCATCCGCATCCAAGAAAACTCAACCCAGGTCCATCCTGTCAACATCAGCCAGGTAGGCTTTTTGGTCACACTCCCTTGGTGCCACAGAGTCGTATTCTCCCAACTAAGTGGGAAGGTGCCCCCACTGCACTCAACACTGGGCTCTTCAGAAGGACTTCAACACCTCCCAATTATTTTTTGTATGGTATCTTTTGGAAATGATTGTTAGTGCAGGTCTCATTGACTTACTGTTAGTATGAAAATTAACAGTTTGAAGGTGACCAAGATACAGTCAATACAAACATTAGAGAGATTGGACTTTGCCCTTCAGTTTGGATGCAAAGTCCAGTCATGGGTCCTCCAGGCTTTGGGCAAACCAAGAGTTAGTCTGTTGAAGGTTATTTTGAGGTTAACTTCTTCCAGCTGCAGAAGAGCCTGTCGGGGGTAAGCTCCACAACAACCCTGCTGTGGGCAGTCCCCCCCACTCAGGGACACCTTATGTGACCAGTTTTGTATCATGTAGTACACCTGCTACATCAAAAGTACCTAGGAAGGACTGAAATGTCCTCCTTCACATCCTGCATTCCCATGGTATTCCTCTTTTCACAGTGCAAACACAAAATATTTTGCTGATAACTGCAGACCAATAGCAATGCATACATCAGTACATATTAACTAACAGGCCAAGAGCCTTTCAGAAATATTTGTCTTTGAAAAATGCCTTGGCACTGACACCCTCAATGCCGTCATCCCTTAAACATGGCAGGATTCCTTGGGTCCTGTTTGCAAGAGTAACAAACTCGGTGCTATTCCCACTGGTCTCAGTGACAGCCCAAGGAAGTCCAGAGTGAAAACAGGTGGAAGAAAGATTAACATGAAATGGTGCATCCTTTCTGGGGTCACTTGTAGACAAATTTCAGGTGTCAGCCAATGACATGTTGGTTCTGCTCAGGGGAAAATGAAATGCAGTTGCTGCTATATGGTATAAAACATAAACAGTAATACTGACTCCATTAATTTGATAGTCTGTGTACTTACTTAATTTTAAATCTGTAGCACCCCAGTAAAGATTCTTCATCACAGACTGCACACCTATGTGCAGATAGGTACTGGGTATTTGTTTCACTTCTCTGAATTATATAAACCAAAACAATAGGCAGGAAGAGACAGTGTAAGGAAGTGGAATAAATTAGTGTCAAGATATCCAAATACAAATAATGTGGGTTTTTTTCTCACAAATGTAGGTCCATATCACAAGGCCCTTCCATAAAAAATAAGTGTTGTAGCCTATCTGGACAGCTGGAGAAACGGGTAAAATGGCTTCACCACACAATTCAGAGAGCAGAGGTGGATTATCAGTCTGATTTTCTGCAGTTCATCCCAAGAGCCTGCCAAACTCTTATTTTTCTGGTTTATGAAGCTAACAGGAATGCAATCTTTTCTGTTTGTGTTCCAGAAATGATCCCTGTTAAATCTCAGTCTGCACTTCTGACTTCCTATCCTAACTTATTTTTTGGGTTTCTTTTAGGTGCAGTCAAATGAGATAGGTGCAATTTATGACATTTTTGAAAAAGAAAAGCTGCCCAGGCTCCCATTTTCCATCAGTCAGGATGGGGTTATTTATGTGACCGAACCATTGGACAGAGAAGAAAAGGATGCTGTAAGTAAACACATAAAACCTCACTGATGCAAGAGACCATAGCTGGAAACTGATTATTGATGTGGGAGTAAATATGAGAAAGCTCAATAGAAAGGACAGAGGGGGAAAAATCAATAAAAGTTTTGTTTCTTGCCACTTCTGTTTGGGAATGATTTGATATTTAGGAAAGCGCAAGCACCTACTACACTGCAAACAGCCTTCAGGTTGATAGCCTGCAACTGGGCTGGCAGTAGCAATCACTGTCCACAGCATATGTGCAATGTACAACATGGACCAACTATGGCAGGATTGTGGCTGCATGAGCAAGAGACAGGTGGTGGCATTTGTGAGCCTCAGGATCTGCACCAGAAGTAAAGTTTAACTTGGAACTGCAACTGTAAAGTTACCTTGAAGTTCCCCATCTGGGGGTCTTTTAGGCAGAAAACCCTCTGTTCCCTTTTGTTCTTGGAGGAAATTTGGACACAGAAGAGGCCAGAGATCAGATATGCTGGAGAAATTCTATCTCCAGGTGCAACAGATGAATTTGCGAAGTGACAAAAAGGAGTTATTCCTGCTTTTCTTGAATTTTTGCAGGAGTAGGGCCACAGTTCAGGGATTTTAAATTCTTTTAAAGGAATTTCAAATTCTTTTGAGAACTCAGACCTCAGACACTAAGAGGTAATGGAAGAGTTCTGAATTAAACAGAGTGAAAATACTGAACAAAATTATGAGAGGATATTTCATTTGTGTGAAACGCTTTCCTAGTTACATATTTAAATGCAGAACATCGTCACAGTGGACATTCAAAAAAATCTAATCATGTTATTCTTATTGCAGTATACATTCTTTGTGGTCGCAAAAGATAACCAGGGAGAATTGGTAGACAAGCCTTTGCAAATTCATATTATTGTGGAAGACATTAATGACAATCCCCCTGTGTGCCAGCAGGCCCTCACTGTAATTGAAGTTCAAGAAAATGAAGTTGGAGGTATGAAAACAGCTTCTATTAATTTATACACATCATTCTAGTCCTGTTATTGTTTCCAGTTGGGTGCAAATGAAGCTAGAAATTCTGATCCCAGAGAGTAAAATGTAGCTCTCCTAGACAAATGTTTTCCTGTGCAAATAGCCCTGTTGTTTTCACTTCAATATTTCATGTGGAAAAGATTTCAATAACCTGAGAAGGGCAGACCCAAGACACCTACTTCAAAAATGCTGTTCCATTTAAAAGGTAAAATTGCATTTTCCCACAATCACAGTTTTGGACAACTGCTTAGAGTGTAAAAAGAAAAACACCCCTTTTATTACTAATACAAGAAATAATGCTCTAAAAGTGGTGTGAGCCCATTTTCCCTCATCCAAATACTCCTCAGTGACTTCGTCTTCAACAGACCATTACCCAAATCTGTCCATAAGTCTTTACATCAGTTATTTGGTTTCAGAACTGAAGTGCCTGTTGTTATAGCCACTTCTGATCAAAATACATGGCCCAGTGCTTTTGGACTGCCCCAACCCCAAATCTGTAGGTTGGGATGTTAAAAGAAACAGTCCCAGAAGTGACATTATTGTGTCTGTCACAGTGTTTTCCATGCAGTTTTATTTGTATTGACCCTGTACTCTTTGCATTGGTATCACTGTTGTCAGTGTTTACCTCTGTGGAGAAACAGGACCACTGCATTATCTGCCTGACTCTGGTGTCTGCTCTGCCACAGCAAGCACTATCGGCACCGTCTTTGCTACAGACATGGATGAGAAGGACACCCTTAACTCTTACCTGCGGTTCAAAATCAAAAGTCAGGTTCCTGAAGTTCCTGCAAGTAATTTGTTTTATATTCAGCAAGAAACTGGAATTTTGCAGTTAACTGGCCGTTCCTTAAGCAAGATCTATGCATCCAACTATTCCTTGGAGGTGCTGGTGACAGATGGAGGTATGTAATGCCTGCTGTTATACACTGGAATAACTCTGTTGGCACTGGCATCCCCTGTGGTCAGTGTCCAAGAGATGTGAGAAGACATGGAAGATTCACTGGACAGGCAGTAGTATTGAAAACTGTCTTGCTCTGGTGTGGTACTTGCCTCATTCTTGAGACACAGGGCTGTTAATCATGATTCATACTGCAAGCATGGAAGGAAACCAGCTCTAGGGCAGAGTGTGGCTGAATTGGGAAGCTTGTTAATACATTCTCCAGTGAGAGATTTCCTTCCATGGGGTAAAAAAAATGAAGAGATCATGATTGTGGTTTTCCCCCAAAATCTTTCAAAGGGACTTACTGAAAAAAAAAAAATCAAGAAATTAAACACAGCTGCTCAGCAGTCCAGATAATGTATTTTAAACATTAAGAGCTGAAATTAAACTTTGAAAAGAATCTTGTCCATTATGTAAGTTCCCAGGAGTTCTTTGTGGTTCACCGAATGGAAAGGAAATCGAACTCCATTCTAAAGCTTAAAGCTTTGTGCTGGAGTCCTTATAGCTAAGCAAAACTTGTGGATGGAGGAACTGGCATGTAAAGAAAGCAGTGTGACGTGTTTGTAAATTAAATAGCATCATTTAGGCAAAAGACAAGAAAACCCTGCAGAGGGAGAAGCTGGTGTTTTGTTTTGGATGCTTATTGAAATTTCATCAAAACAGTTTTACTTAGAATATTCCTTAACTTTCACCTCATGAAGCATGTCTGTAAAACACTAAAATCCAGTTTACATATGAACAGCACATGACGAGACATTTTATGCTTTAAACCCACAACCCTCCTATGCTATGGATGCCCCCTGCTCAGGTAGTGCTTACATTTACACAGATCTGGCTGTAACAAAAATGAGTGTGCTGCCTGATGACCTGTCAGCAGGACAGGGTAGTGTAACAACCCAGGGCTTACCTTTTGACACACAAAAGTGATACTGAGAAAGCTAACGCAATTCATGGTTATCAACATCCTGGTAAAGGGATATGGTTTAACAAGTGAAGGCCATAAAACGAAGCAGGATGGGATGATGGTCAAGAAATTGGAAAGGGGAATAGTAAGATAGAGTGAGGTCATCAGTGACCAAGAGATACTTGAGATCAAGTGCTTCTTATAACAGGAGGACTTTGCTTGGATTGGGCAATCTGGCAGTGCTCACTTTTGCTCACAGTGAACCATTTCGGAGGAAAGTTATTTTTGGCAGAGGGGCTGCTGTGATATTGTTTGTCTCTTTTGTGTAGCATTTGAAACAATCTGTGACGTGGAAGTACATGTCATTGACACCAATGATCAAATTCCCATCTTTGAAAAATCAGATGTGAGTATTTTAACATTGTTTTGGATGTTCAGATAACTTTTGACAATTGTTTGAGTGTATGTTCAATGTCTGTAGAATGTCAATGGGAAACTAACAATTTACAGAATAAGTAACAGAGTAATTCACTACTGAAAATAAAGGCAGGTATTGCTGCAAGCCTGTATATATGCTCTATCTAAACAGTGAACACTGGGACTGACTCATAGTTAATTCTCAAATTGAAGGTGATTTGCTCAGTGGAAAACTACATGTACAAAAAGAAATTATTCCATTAAAGCAGTTTATTCCAGAAATGAAAGTTCTGAAGGAAAAGGGGGGAAGAAAAGGCTTTGAAATTAATTAAATAGCTAAACGGAAAAAAACTAACATTGCTCAAGTTCCCTTCCAAACACAGTGTTAATACACCCAAACAGAAGATGAATGGAAATCAAAGGCCCTATTTGGTTTGACTAGAAATAGTGGTCCAGTGATCCATGCCCAAACGCATACCTGCTGGCCCTCAGTTCCAGAATGGGCATCAGGCTCTTGCCTTTTCCTCTGGCGGAGGTGCTGGCATCTGGTAGAGAGACCTGCAGGCCTCTTGTGACTTCTGCCTGATGGCCCAAACCTCCCTTGCAGACACTGAAGTGGCTGAAGTGCCTACATATAGGTGTCCATTCTTGTAGGCAATGCAGGCAGTGGGCTCAGGCCCATCCAGTGTAGATGTCCTTTTGGGGAAGTTTTGTTGCTTTTGGGGCTTTGCTGACTGCATTGTCCAGGTCTCTGTTGATGGCAATGGGAGAATAATCACATGCAGACTAGGTGCCTACATAGCAGGTTGTAGACCTTCTCACCTCAAGGTCTCAGTACTGGAGCTGGTCTCAAGATGAAGCTTCTGGATGAGGGCACACATCAATCAGAGTCAATGGAGCTGGGATGCTAATGTGGAAACAGCCTACGGTGCATAGAGTAATTAAATATTTAACAGGGAGGGGCCAGGGTGCTCCTGGGGTACTGAGGAGCTGTGATGCCTATCCTGCTGTGAGCACTGCATGAACCATCAGTGGTTACAACAGAGAAGGTGAAGGATTGTAAATGTTGCTAGTAGTCTACCCATTGACATAGATCCCATCACTTTTGATAAATGTGTGGCTAAAAAGCTTCCCTCCCTCACTTGGCTGCTGTGGGTTAAAATACATCCATGTTTGTGGGTTGCAAACTTGTTGTAGTGCTCAGGTTTTTGTCCACAGATGGTGTTGGTGTATCATGTTTCAATGATATCTCTCTCTCTTCAGTATGGCAGTGTGACCATTGCAGAAAGTGTCCCAGTAGGAACTGTGATATTAGAAATTCAAGCTAACGATGGAGATGAGCCTGCCACAGGGAGCTCCCTCATCATCTACCAAGTGAAGGAAGGAGATCCAAACAACACATTCATCATAGAGACAGATGCTGAAACAAATAGAGGGTTTGTCAAGATTAACAAGGTGAATAGACGGATTTGTTCTTCTCCTTTGTTGTTACTTATTTGTCATAAGCAGTAACAGCCTTGGTGATGATTTGCAAGGAGTGGTGTTGCCTAGTGGAGGGGTGAGGACATCCTAAGCATGGTGCAGACTGCAGAAGGCTTCACTCTTGGGGTCAGGCGCTGTACCTGTGCAGTGCTCATACACTCACCTATCCTCCTGCCTTTGCTGTCCCCTAACCAACAGCAGCTCCCTTCATCACCTTGGTTGTTGGCTGCTTCTCCAGCACAGCAGGCTCTGGCCAATGAAGAAGGTCTTTTTGCACCATAAAGATGAAAAATGGCATCATTTGTGTGATTTTGCAGTTGCATAGGAAAAGAGAAAACCAGTTAAATGCTTCCACGGGCTGTGGTGGTAGTGGTGGGTGGTGACGGGGCAGATTCCCTTCCCTGCTGTTGCTCTGGGCCATCAGTGGCTTTTGCAATGGGAGGTGCAAGTGAGGCCAGTAAGTCTCAATGTCAGGATGGAGAGAGACAGCTTGTTCCTGCTGAGGGAAACACTGACTGCAACAAAGCCAAGGTTAGCATGTGCTGCAGTGGGTGATACAGCCCACATGCCGAATGCTGGAGATGGGAATACAAGGAACGCTTTTTGCTGTGTCCATGAATTTCAATAGCAAAATTGCTCTCCCTTTGAAATTAGCCTTCTTGAAGGTGCTTGGATTGTGGGTCCAGAAAATCTATCTCTCATTTTCCAAGGGGTACCATATTGTATGCAACCAGTTCACGTGCTGCTGGCCAGACCCAGGGCAGGGAGATGCAGTGTTTGGTGGACCATCTTCAGGATCAACCTCGCTGTCATTTTTTTCCCAAGGAGGCAACTGTGAGAAACTCTGCAGTGCAACAACCCTTGCATGACTTTTGGCACCCAGAGTTCCTTTGAGGCCTTCTCATACAGAGCTATAAATACTATTCCCGTAAACAGGATATAGTTATTAAACTTAGGCAGGTGGCAACACTATTAGAAAATGCAGTTGCTGAGGAGGCCCTCAAACAGGCATATGGTTTCATTTAAATTGACTCTTCTCAGTGTCATTTTTCTCCTGACAGCTCTCCCTTGTTTTGTCTGTATCCGGGATGCAATCTCCACCTTGAGAAGAGGGGGGATTTGTGTTTTCTCATTGGAGCTCTTCGTGGCAGCAGGGCCATTGCTTAAAGCACCTTTTTTTTTTTTTTTTTTTTCTAATCCAGGCGCTTGATTTTGAAACAATGCCAATGTACAACCTGGTGATCAACGCCACAAACCCTGAACCGCTGGTGCAAGGCGTGCAGTACAACTCAAGTTCCCTTACCTTGTTCAAAGTTTTCTTAACAAATGTGGATGAGCCACCCGTTTTCCTCAAGCCAGTTTACAAAGAAGAAGTACCTGAAAACATTTCTGTCAATACTCTGCTCATGACTGTGGAGGCCTATGATCCTGAGGGGGATTCTGTACGGTAAAAAAGTGTGACTTTAATTAATTAATTGAATTTAGTATTTAGAAAATTGTTCTAAAGAAGATGTGAGGAAAATATGCCCAATATTTGACATGCAGGAAAATACTTTTTTTACAGAAATCTTGTCTCCCAGTAGGAAGCAGAGGTGTGGTGGGGTGATGGCCAGTGACCCATCTGCTGAGCAGTGCTTTTCTGACCAGATTCTCTCTGTACTGTGACGAGCATCAGCCAGTGGGGCCCTTGAAACAGGAAACCACTAGGGAAGAAGGCCAATATATGTCTCCTTGTCAGAGCAGAACTGGTCTGGGAATAACAGGTTTTCCATATTCAAAATGCCTTTAACAAAGGAATGAAGCATATACTGCGTATCCTTAAGAACCGGAAGAAGAGTCTTCATGTCACACATGGCTTTTTCTCCATCAAAAGACACAACCTCAAGTCTACAGTCAGCAATTAATTAATTTTCTTTCCCTTCTGTCAAAGATAATATGCCTACTTCTACTGTGGACACAAAGCTCTGTACAAAGACAATTCCTGTGCCGTGTTGCATGGTGTAAATGTATCTTACACAGTAGAGTCCGACAGGATAATTATCTTGGGCTCTTCCTGCACAATTCTCATCTGGAATGCTGAACAGATCAACCCAAAACAAATAATTATTAAAATTTAACTAAAATTTATCAAAACACCAAGTAGTTAATAGAGTTGTAGAATATAACTCTTAGGCCTCCAGTGGATTTTTATACCCAGGGGTTTCTCATCTGGCTTTCTACTTTCCTCTAACTTTTGGGAACTTAGCATGTTTGGCCTTCTGTCAAACTGGTTTGAAAGCGAGCCACATAGTCCAGAAGCTCTAGGGGATGATGACAGAGACAGATGACAAATATTCACAAATACATAAACCACATTTTTGCTAAAAAATAGATTAAAGGGCATAAAATAAAAACTATAAAAAAGTAGAAGATGTACAAACATGTTAGCATGCTTTTTCTAATGTAAGGAATACTGAAAGAACAAAAACTTTGAGTGGGAAGGTCAGGTTGCTTCTACTCGAGCAAGTGCCTGTGCTTTAACTGGGTCATATGTTCATGGTTAAATCTGTACAAGTAAATACCCAAAGACCTTGGTGTTTTTTTAAACAGCGATATAAAGGCAATTATGTGGTGGTGTCTAAAGCAGTCTCCGTTCCAAGGCTGACCCAATGGTAATTACAAGCTTCTCCAGACTGGCAGCAGATATTCACTATAGTCCACTTGGGCATCCTGTTCCCTTGCTGATCCAAAATAGGGTGCCTGGCTGCACTGCTCTCTCTGCCCCCCAGCCTTTGGCTTGTGCCCCCAGCAAAACCAAGGTCTGGGAAGTGCAGTGGGGAGAGAGTGACATGGGGTTGGGGCAAAACACAGTTTTGGATCAAAAGCTCAAAAACACACCAGATTTCACAGTTAGGAGGACAGTGAAGTTGCAATTACACATGCTGGAGTAGTGGTGGCATTTCCATGGTTCTGCTCTCACTCTTATTCTGGATGATTTTGGCCTCTCTTCCTCTGTATCTTCTGCTTGACTGTAGTACTGTGACTCTTCCAAGAACCCTGTCTTTGAGTACAATTGTAACCAAGCTGCTTGGCTAAAATCAATTTGCTTTGTCAGATTCTTTTTCTGCATCAGAATAGTGTATGTGATTTTTTTTTCCCAATTTCTTTCCAAAGATACTCCTTAGAAGGTGATGTGAAGAAATGGCTGAAAATTGATTCAACCACTGGGCGGGTATACAGTGCTTCCCGTTTGGACAGAGAGGAAACAGAAATGTACACAATAGACGTTGTTGCAACAGAGCTGAGTAAGTGATGAAACAAATACACACACACACAGAGGAATCGCCTGTCCTTACTCTTTTATGGGGAATTATCATACCTCCCATGACTAAACCCATGAAAAGTACAGGAACATGTATCCTTAGGTATACATCCTATGATGTATCCTTAGAAGTATATATTTCTTAAGACTTTGACTTTCTTTAAGAAATCTTGATGCTGTAGGTAATGAGGTTTAAAATAGTTTTCATGAAGCTAGCTATCACATGATCTTTTATTTGTTTAAACCACATGACATATAAAGAGGGTTAGAATTTCTTCAGGGTTTTCAGCATCAATATTTTCTGCCACTTTTTCCTCTATAGCTGTAAAGATTTTCGTCTTTCTCATAGATATCTTTAGGTTTCCTGAAAACATACCTGTAGAGTAGCCTGCAGCCTTGTACAGAATTTCATTCTATTGTGAATAAAACTAATACTCTATCAACTCTGAAATATATTAGGACTTCTAGTCCCAGCCATTAGAATCTTTCAATGTTGACTTGCATTTCCTGTATATAAAAGAGAGGTGCAAAACTTAAGGAGTTTCATGCTTAAAAGAGCTCCATAAAGCACTGGCCACCTTGGATATGATCACTTACTAGGTATGATGGTCTGTCTGACTCCTTACCCTTGCTAGTGTCCTGTAGTTAGCAAGAGTTGGTGATAAATAAACCATACTTGTTAAAAAGAAGTGGCAGCTACCAAGAATTCCTCAGATCCTCCTGGGACCTTGCCTCTGCAACCTTCAGACACAATGACACTCCCCACTTCCTTCCAGCTCTTTCACCAGCTTTGTTTCTGTCCTCTGGACACATTGGTAGCTATTGGTACCTGCTACAATAGCTGCAAATGCAACAACCCAGCATGTGAATTCGAGATGTCCATGTAACTTTGCATTCTGTTAAACTCTACAGATAACCCTGCTCAGAAATCCAGAGCATCCTTGATTCTACACTTACAAGATGTGAACGACAACCTTCCATATTTAGCTAAGGATAACCCTGCTTTCTTCTGCTACCCGGTCAGGGGAGGAGAGAAAACTCTTCTTCAAGCTACTGATGCTGATGAACAGTGGTTTTATTCAAAATTTACTTTTTCTCTTCCGGATGATATGGATACAAGAAAAAATTGGGAAATCTCAAAAGTCAATGGTAAGCTAATACAGCTACTCTTACAATGATATGGGACTCTCTTAGTACTCTGGGAAATATAAAGAAATATTTAATTCCTTTTCACTCCTTTTATTGCATATCCAGTATTCCATGTAGAAAAAAAATTAAGTTGTTGAGAACACCTAAGTCCTTAATTATTTTCTTCAAGACATGACGCGTAGTATGTTGCAAGTTAAAATTTCATGAGCACTTGTGAGAGGAGAAACAGGTAAGACTGACATGTACTGTGTGCTTAAGGACTACACATCACTGATGAAAAAGAAACAGAGAAGTTGAGCAGCTTGCAAACTGTACATTGCTGACATTTCATGTGCAAAACAAAGTCGTGCCTCACAAACCAAATGGAGCTCTTTGAAGGGGGTCGTAAACACATGGATAAGTGCTCGGCTGATAGAGCCTGTCTGAATTCATAAAATATGTTTGATGAAGTGTCCCACTAGAGAAAATTGGGTTGCCATGGTGTTAAAGGGACAAGTTATGAAAGGATAAATAATAATTTAAAATTCAAGAGTTGGAGTAAATGGTCAGCTCTTGCAGTGAAGGGAATTAATCTGTGGTTTTCCAAAGGTTTTTTTGCTACGATCTGCATAATTCAATACATATGGGTATGCAATGAGAAGCCAAAATTTATTCATTATATAAAGTTATTGGAGTAGGAACCAAGTGTGAAGAGTTTCAGAACATTCTTGAAAGACTGAGTTGGTTGAACAACAACATGGCAGGTGCTAATGGACCCTGGACTCACAAACTCACTTTTGAAATCATAGGTGCTGAGCTGGCCATTATGAGTCAGGAAGGAGACCTGTAAGCAGTTCCATGGAAGTGTGAGATCAGTTTATCAGTAGTGTTCAGAAAAGCAAATCAGATATTGAGAATCACTAGGAAAGAACCAGAGAAGATAACCAGAGAACACCATTATGCCCCTGTATAAATCCACGAGTTGTTAAAATCTTTAATTCCAGTCTTTCTATCTCCACAAAGATGCAGTATAACTGGAAACAGGTTCAGGGCAACAAGGATAATGAGAGTTATAGAGTAGTCCAATACAAGAAAGTGCATAGGAGCAGCAAAGGAAGCTACTACTTTTTATCTTGGAAGACAGTAGAGAAAATTATGATAAAGAGTTATAAAATCATGAGTGCTATGGTCAGCGTGGCTAAAGGTTCATTGTTTGACCTCTCTTCCAGTAGACAAACCTAGGAACCTTAAATGAGGCTTGTGGAGTTATTACCAGTGCAGATAGAATGAGGAGGTAATTGACTTTGGAACTTGCTGTTACAGGGTGTTGTCTATGTAGAAATTTTCTACAGGTTCAAAGCAAAAAATTACATCTTGCTCAAGAAGTCCCTGAGCTGAAAATGGTTGAAGGCTGGGAGGGCATTAGGAAAAAATAAAATATATGCTCGCAATCTCCACTTGATCTAAAAACATGATCCTGACATCAGTAGAACTTTGATCTGTTCCCAAGGGCTCTTACAGGCTTTTCCAAATTTTAAGGTGTCTCAGATGTGATGGTGTAAGTGGGCTAGAAGGATGGCCCGTCCTACTAAATTACCTTGTGAAAAATTTAAGCTGGTCTTGGTCTCTATGAGTATAAAGGGTTATTCTTGGTTTAGATGTGATGCTATCAGTGTAGCACTACCCAGCGTCAGATTTGGGCTGGTGTAGAAACCAGGAAGGAAATTCTATGATTGCATTATGTTGAAGGCCAGACTAGGCTTTTAGGTAATCCCTTTTTGCTTCATGTCTGCAAGCCAATGAGACCTTGGAATACATAGAGGAAAACGGAAACTACCATCATGTTTGAACCAGCCTTAAAAAAAAGAACATTTGCAACTGATATGAATGTTGGGATAAATTTCTTTTTTGTGCTGACACAAATGTCCTATTTCCTACCTACAGCTACTCATGCTTACCTCTCTCCAAAACATCCTAACTTTGAGGAGAAGACGTATAATGTTCCAATAATACTTAATGACAATGGAAACCCACCTTTGCAAAACAAAGTGAATCTTAAAGGTATACTATGCACAGAACTACTAGTTTCAAGACAGCAGTTATATTTATGACTAACCAAATCTAACTACCAAACTTCTCATTAACCTCATGGCACTTCTTTTTGCAGTAAACATCTGCAAGTGTTCAATTGAAAAGTCATGTTTTATTGAAGTAGAGCGTGAGCACTCCTGGCCAACCGTTGGGCAGGCAGTTGGGATTCTACTTGGGGTCCTGCTCATCATTGGTAAGTCACTTTTCTTGGTTGATTTGAAGCCAGATCTCCGAGATATGATGGTGCTGCTGCATTTCTGACACTAATTTACTTGTTGGGTGAAGATTTGTCATGAATGCTGCAGACTGAAAGAGGGGAGATCTTGCGATTGTGTATCATGATTGCTGAAAACTTAAGTTTTCTGTGCTTCTTAATCAACATACAATGGCATTGCAATCAGCTAGAACAGAAGCAACTGTTGCACTTGTAGCATGTTGTCACTTCATTGTTACCTACTGCCTTTTCTTTGTCGAGGAAGGGATTGGAGCCTTGTCTTAGGCACCCAGATTATAGTGAAAGTATGGAAGTTTCCAGGGATGTCATGCTTAAAATATCTGTACCCGTAGCTTATAGTTATGATTTTATTCATTTATTTCAGCTTTGTAGGTTTACCTTATTCATATGGAGAGTTATTCTGAACTGTGGGAATTTACATGAACAAAGTGTAGTTACATTGTTGAGCAGCAGTGAACGGTATTATGTTCCTACAGGCTCGTGCTGATGCAACTTCAACAAGTAGCTTAAAATTTTTTTCAAAACAAACCAAAATATTTTTTAGTATAAGGATAGAATATTTCAGTTAGAAGGGACCCACAACGATCATCTAGTCCCGCTGCCTGACCATTTCAGGGCTGATCAAAATTTAAAGCATATTTTAAAGGCATTGCCCAATTGCCTCTTAAACGCTGACAGGTTTAGGGCATCAAACACCTCTATAGGAAGCCTTTTCTAGTGTTTGACCACTCTCTCAGTAAAAAAATGCTTCCTAATGTCCAATCTAAACCTCCCATGGTGCAGCTTTGAACCATTTCCACATGTCCTATCCCTTGATACCAGGGAGAAGAGCTGAGCACTTCCCTCCCCACTCCTCAGGGAGCTCTAGAGAGCAGTGAGGTCACCTTACAGCCTCCTTTCCTCCAAACCAGACAAGCCCAAAGTCTTCAGCCACTTCTCATAGAACATTCCTTCCACTCTTTCACCAGCTTTGTTTCTGTTCTCTGGGCATGTTCCCATTCCTTAACATCCTTCTTCAATTGTGAGGCCCAGAACAGCGTTCAGTGCTGAAGGTGAGGCTGCACCAACACTGTTACAGCGGGACAGTCATCTGTCCTGGCACACATGACAAATCCCTGCTCAAAGGGAGGGAGGTTAAATAGACACTTTGCCACCTGATCAGATCCTAGAGGTGAAGTTCATCTCTGGGGGAAGGCCTCTGAGCCCCTCAGCAGCTGATCCTGCCCACCAGCTCCTCTCATTCATGCTGTTGGTCCAAGGCTACATGGTCATTCCACAATCCTGTTTGTTTCTACTCAAGAGGTAAAGCACATATTACAGAGGATATTACAGTGCAGATGTCAGGGCCCTTGCTGAAACCTCTTTTCAGAAAGTGTTCTTTTCCCATTATTGATGAATGCTCTTTGTTTTTCAGGTGCCATTATAGGGGGCGTATTTTTCCACATGAAATACAAAGAGAAACATGAAAAGAGTCACCAAAAAGATGCAAAAGATAGCGCTGAACTCAACAGACTGACTTAAAGACTGTTTCATCAAGTGACAAAATGTGGCAAAAATGCCCTCTGGGTTGTGAGTAAGTAAACTTCACTGCTCCCAAAGCCCAGAAGTGTACTGTCACAAACTGAATAGCAGTTCAGGTAATAAAGTCCTGCACTGCATTTGAAGATGTCCCATGAAATTATATGAAATTACCTGACTCTCAGCAAAGGAGGTCCCAAACATATTGCAATCTGTAATCTGTCCCGGGTCATGCCTGCTTACATTATGCTGAATTTGTACTCACTATGTGACATTTCAGTTTTTCATTTTTGATATCCAAGGAGTAGAACCAGTTTGTAAAGCACCATGGCCTTTCATTACAGTTTCCAATTTAGAAAAAAAAGACTATGCCAAGTCATGTGGAGTTAGGTAATATGCTGCAAGTATTGTATCATACTGCTGCAAATATTGCTCTTGCCCCCTACACATTAGACAAGAATAAAAATTTTCTTTAAAGGTTTTAGTGCCTGCTTATTTTATTATATATTATATTATATTATATATTAAAAAGACAGTACATGACAGCAAACCATTTCTGCTTGGTTATCTCTTGTATTTCACCCTCACTTTCATGAAATACAGATTAAAAATGGCTCTTAGGCAAGTGACACGAGTCCAGCTGATTGAAGATGCAATGATTGCTGGAGGCACTTCTATCTTAATTAGAGTAAAATGTACTTGAGCACAGGATGACACTCAGAGAGGGAAAGCCTTTCTCCTGACAGCATGCCTATAGAAGGGCATTTTTGGTGACAGTTTGTGGGAGGTCTTTCTTTTAAACTATAAATAAAAGCTGACAAATATTGTGTTAAACTAAAAAGACAATATATTTTTGAAAATGTCAAAGAAAAGTTCATATGGAAAAGACTGTATTTGCTTACCCAGGATTTTTTTAATGGCTTTTGCATACAGCACAGAACTAGAAAGAAAAGAGCACTTTTTTGGTAGCATTGCATTTATAATAGGTTTTCCTAGAATGCTGCCAGCAAAAACTTTGCTTTTGGGCTTCAACAACACAACCCAATTGTTGTACCTCTTCCCCAGCTGTTGGAGCTCTGTTATTTGCTGTGGGGCTCACTGCTGGAATGTATTTATTTTATGATGGGAATGCAATCCATTATATTTGGAAAGTATGACATTCAGTTACGTCAGTGTGTCCAGGGATTAGGTTTAGTATATTGTTTTATAAATAAAGAAGCCAAAGTTTAGGAGTTGTACTTGTGTGTACCCACACAGCTTTATCTGAAGATGAGGAAAATGAGCAGAAGTTCTCCTTTGCTTTACCTCCTTGACCTGTCTTTCTGTTTGATAAGTTTACCCAAGCCCATCTCCTGTTTTCAAAAATTTCTTTTCTGGAGAAGAGTAAAAAAATTTCTTGTCTTATTTGCCTACATTCGTGGCTGGTTTGATAGCAGGACCTTAACCTTGTCCTGAGCCTGCAGAGGCATTGCTGTAGTTTCCTGTGTCTCATGGGGTGATTCACTGCACCCTCTCCTAGCTGCCCTCAGACCAGCAGATAGCAGAGCTTCTCAGACAAGCCAAAAAGTTCTCTGGGGTCTTGAACACATCTTCAGCCTTGAAGACTTTCAGTCTCAGTGCACTGGGAGTCAACCCCACTGCAAGTGCTTACCAAAGGTGGTTCACGTGTGGTAGGAGGAGTCTGAGTGAAACTGCCTTGGGGTGTCCCCTCTCTGGCAGCTGCCCTGGGTGGACATCTCTAGGGCCCAGCACATTTTCCCTTGCTGCTGCAATGACCCCTTGATAGCCCACACTTCTGCCTGCAGCAGAGCACAGACAGGGCCTTCAGCACCCTGACTGCCTCACCTCACCTCTGCCCCCTTCCCCACCCCACTTGCCCAAAGTCCCCTCCGCTCAAGGGATTTATGTTCATGCCCACACAGGCATAACTAAGCAATGCAGCTGCTAGCTAACCTGTGGCTGGGGCATCACATGCTTCTTAGTGCTTCTTGTACTGTGCAGTAGTCCTCCCTTAAACAAAACAAAACAAACTAAAAACCCCCCTCAAACAAAAAAAACCCTGATTTCCAACTCTGACACAAATATTCTCATTTTCTTCACCCTCCTCCTGCCTGCCTGCCTGCCAGGATTTTATCCCCAGTCCTCCAGGGGTTTATTTAACCCAGTCCTGCTCTGGGTTCTTCATTGGTTCAGTATCTTTTGGGAGCCAGACAAAAATTCTCACCCAGCCTTAACTCTCCCCCCGCAGCAGACTGCTGCCCCCAGCCTCCTTTCCAAGGGACAAATTCAGTTTTGCTTGGGTCTCTGGAGAGGAAGAGAAGCAATACTTATTATTATTCCTTCCCAGCATGCTTCCCACTAGTTCCAGCTGGTTCCCAGGTCTCTGCAGGAGTGGCAGATATTAGAACATTTTGCCTGTACATTACGTTTTTGCTCTGAATTCAAGTTTTAAAGAATGAGCATTTCTTTTTGAGCTCCTCAAATTCTTGACAATGTCTGTTAGTCATGTATCCTGCAAAGTTGTTTCATTGGCACTTATTGGTAATAACTGACAACATAAACCACACTTTAATTGTAAAAGTGTGAAACTATAGATAGCACTCAAACAAAAATTTTTACAGACCTCAAAAAAATAGTTCTCTGAAGTTGGCCATATTATTACTTTTTTAAACACCTTTGAAATATTTGCTTATACTTATTTTTTATTCTTGAATAATAGATATTCTGGTAACAGTTACATGCCAGAATATTGGCATGATTTTCACACCTGCAGGATTAACTATGAAGAAATTAGTAAGGTCTGCAAGCATTAAAACCAAATTAATACTTTCAATGCATGATACTTAAAAGAAAATGTTAGAGGAGCTAAAGCTCTCCTATTTTCTATCCACAAATTATTAGAATAACTTTATACATTGAGAGGAGGACAAATTTTGAAAACAGTGTTGATGGCTTTGGACTCCAGTTACAACCTTTCTGCCAAGAACAATATCACACAAGAAGTCCAGTGATGAAATCTGCTGAGAATATGTCCTCTGGCACTGCTCCTTTCCTTGGCTCCTCCTCCAAGCATGCAACATCTCATTACAAGGTTCACAGATAGCAAAAGATGTTTCGGTGCTTTCTAATCCTTTTTTTACAAGATTAGAGGCTTATCAGGGTTTTGATTATCTCCAGGATTAATGGAATACATTAATTAAACTGTCATTATGCATATTTTTCAACTCTTTTGTAAATACAAACTTGAAAAGTACGAACAAGATTTTTATCTGGGTTTATAGAACAAATGCCACAGAACAGCAGCTCCTGGGGAGAAGAAACACGTCCTTAATCCATGTTTTCAAGCAGAGTTCATCAGCTCTGCTCACATGATCAAATGTGCAAGGCTGTATCCACCACACACAGCTACTGCTGTGCCTATTAATGGGGATAAAGGTAAGGCAGCCCCCTGTGGCATGGGGATGGATGGGTGCCAGCAGCATGGCTGGGATGGCCATGCCACCCTGCTGGCTGGAGCCATCAGAACTTGTCGAGGGACAGACTCCCCCCAGGTCTGGGGAGTGCAGGGAGAAATTTGTCTTCACCCATAAAATGGCTCTGTAGTGAGCTGTGGTCTTGGGGTAGACAAACACCATGTGGAGGAGCATAGAGGGCACTTAGGTGGGATTAGGAAGATGGATGTTAAAGGGCAACTGGTTTTGGCTGGAAGCAGGTGGATGCTCTCCTAATCTTCTGTATGGTAGTTAATCCTAGGTGCACCTCACTAGGAGTTTGAGAAGATTTTGCTTTAAAATAAATAAACACATTTATTACTGGTGTTATTTCCCACAGATTTGCCAAAACTGAGAGCTAAAATTAGCTAATTGTTTATGTAAACTAGAGCAAGGAACCACATAATCCATAGAGTTACCACTTCCTTCTAGACACCAGAGGGGTTGTGCCCAGTTTCTAAATGTGATTCCAGTGTCATTCACCCCCTCAGAGAAGTTCTCCTTGCCTCTTGACTGACATTGCCTTGTCGTTGAAGCTGTAAATTTCTATGTTCAAGACACAAAGTCCCAGAGCTACAGGTCTGTGCCACAGCAGGGGAAAACTCTTCTAACTCAGAATATTCTGTAACTCTGTGATCCTCTAGGGACAGAGCTCAGTAAAAGGAGGCACCATAATCTGTGACCAAAGGATTACAACATGAAAATCCATTAGTGCAATAAATACCATGGAAACATACAAAAAGATGGACAGCATGATCATGTTAAGGATCCTAAGACAGGAAAAATAACTCCAGTTTTTTGATTGCATATTCCAAAAGCAAAACAGAAGATCAAAGGCAAACCAGAAGCAGATCTTTGAACTTGTTGCTGAACAGCATGTTCCTCCACTGATAGTGAAAGATTGTACGGTGCAGGGAGACAAACTACTTGGGCCTGTTCTATTTAGAGCTTGGGGCCCACAGATGGATGATGAGTGCAGTTGCAAACAGATATTACGCCACAGATGAACTTAAGGGGAAGAATATGGAAGCTGGAGACAAGGAGGGACCTCTCTCCTGCATTAATGCCATCAGCTGGGGTCCAGTTGCTGGCAGTCAGCATAGGCACACACCTCGTGTTGTTTCTCCACCTGCCAGAAACTTCAAAGAGTTCACACCCTGGGGTTTTCGTTGCAAAAGTATATGCCTACATTTGAATTATTTCTTCTGCTTGGCAAAACCAAAGAGATGCAACAGTTGAACCCAGAAGACATTTCTTCAGGTAAGATTCATGGAGGGTTTATCACATCTCTCTGCTCAGTGTAGTGAGCTCACCCATGCTGCTTGTCGCTTCCCTGAGTGAGGGACTTGCCTGTCCTCACTCAGCACTGAAAGGCCATTGTGGGAAAGCAGTGGAGGACTAGAGTGATGCCAGCAAAGATTTACTGACTTACTACTGATTTAGTGACTGATTTACCTGAGTTACAACTGTTGAAACTAACTTGTCCCAGCTGGCCGAGCAGGCTAACGAGATGGGGATTGGCATAGCTGGTGTTGTGTTGCTTTCCCACATTCAGTCTGGACAGTGAAGAGTTACCAGAAGAGCTGATGGTGGGAGCAGCAGGTAGAAAGAACAGGAAGGCAGCACAAAGCAAGAGATACCAAAAAATGAAGTGTGCTCTGAGCCTTAGCTGAAGACCTACAGGAGTGGACAGGCCTGAAGGCTGTGCAGCAGCTCTGAAGCATCACTGTCTTTCCCACGTGGAAGGAGATCAGTGAACTTCAGGATGCATATACATACTTCTGGATCTGGTGGCCACAGAAGAGTCAGAGGGAGCAAGTGCCAGGGGCTTCAGAAGCTGGGGGATTTCCAGCTGCCACCCCTCTTGAGCTCCTTTGGCTGGTGGTTCCTGCTGCTAGACCTGACTGAGAAAGTGCCTGTTTTTCTTTCATTTTTGGCCAACATCTGAAAGACTACAGATTTTTTTCTTGCCCTTTGGATAACTCCGTTG